AGACAAGTTTCACTTTTTGAATGGAATTAGTGAAATAAATCAACTTTTTGATGATATTCTAATTATATGACCAGCACCTGTATATATATTTTGAAAAACATACAAAACCACTGGTATGGTCCTTTAAGGCTGAGTATGAAACCATTATGCATTCTTAGTAGTGACTGAGTTGTGTCTGTACAAGAGAGTAAGGAAAGTGAGACCAAACCCTACCTTACTCATGTCTGAGGCGGGTTTCTCAGCATCCATAGTTAACATGTTAGAACATGAAATGATCAGTTACCTGACAGCCAGAGTGGAGATGACCTCAGTGCCACAAGAAGCCGTCAGCATGGGCAGAAAGCTCTTGCCATTCCATTTGTTGAGGTAGCAAGGAGGAGGTTTTCTGTCTCGTTTATGAGGAATCTGAACTGTGTAAAGTCTCAGGGCGTCTTTTTGGTCTTCCACCTTTCCAAACCTGAAATACATGAAAATACATCCATTAATAGTCACTGTCACGTCATTCGGATGGATATGGTGAGGTGAACCGCTGGAAAGTTCTTTCGTAGAAGATGAAGTCTTTTTGTTTTACCTGCAAGCCATATACCGATAAGTCTTCTCAGCTATCTGAGGCATGGTTTCAAGCCATTTAAGACCCATAGCCAGCTGGCTGCCACTCCATACACTGCAGGAAAAGTCCCGGCCAATACTCACCAGGTGCTGCATGAGAAAAATAAATACTTTAATTGATTGGGAAATATTTTTTTCCCTTGTTTTATTTTCTTCATTTACACACATGCACACACACACAGCACTCTGAGCAAAGGGGTTAGGGTGCCTTGCTCAAGAGCACAGCATCAGTGCCTAAGCTACATTAAATATCCACATCAGGAGGTGTCAATGTTTCACCTTGTTCCCTGGACTCATGTCCAAGTCTTCAATCTCCCCTTCATGTGCTTTGTAGTCAAACTTCTTCTTCAGGGATGGAAACTGAAGAAGAATTAAGAACATACCATAAAAGTCAGGACATCAATACATATGTCGTCTGTCTGTCTGTCTGTCTAATGAATAAACAAGAACACAATGGCTCTGTACAGCAGCTGAGCTTCAGGGCTCATTGACTGAAGTTCCCTTCACAACTGAACTCTTCTTCACTTCCCTGGAGTCAACAGTGGCTGCTAGCCAGCTGGAAGCACAATCAAACCAGAGTGTATTTCACCGGTGTGAATGTGAGTAGGCTGTGATTTGGGTGTGACTTTCCTCGTGAATAAAACTGTATTTCCTGGTGTAACAGCTGATACTAACTTAGAACACTAATAACGGAATCGCCAGCAAAATACCTCCACCAATTAAATCACGCTCTACTTTGTTCTGCTGTGGTTCTGTCAAAACAAGCAACGAATACGGCTATTTGGAAATTACCTCCACTAAGTGTATTTCACCAATGTTTCTGACTGTGAGTAACAGCAACCTGGGTGTGTCTTTTGTAAGTTATTTCAGGTACAATGAGTTAGAATAGTAACATATCTAAACATAATATATTGTGCTGTATTATAGCTGTTTGGGGCCACAGACCCAGGTTGTCTACCCTACCTCACAGTAAAGTCTGCCCTGAGACATATACATATATATATACACATATATACTACATACATACATACATACATACATACATACACACACACACACACACACACGCACATACATATATACATACACGGCACTAAATAGCACGAGTTAGATATTATTGTAATGTTTCGGACCTTTGGACGAGGAGATTTTCTCAATCTGGACCTTTTGGAATTTTAGTTGAATACCCCTGGACTACAGGAAGCAGCATTTCCACCAACTGGCTACAACACACCACAACATCCAGTTTACACCCACACTGAAATTCAAAAGCATTGTCGTCATCTCGCAAATGAATCAAACTAAAACAGTTCATGATCCAGAGATTCAGGTCTAAAGATACTCTTAAAGTGAAAGGAACAACAAGACAGTGTTTACCTCCCAGACTCGTATGTGTCCGTCTGTGCCTCCTGTCAGCAGAAGGCTGAGGTCAGGACTGAACCGGACCACCTTCTGGAGTGGATCCTGGGGGTTCAGATCCGACAGCACTTCAGCCAAACCAGTCACAGCGATACGAGTCGTCTCATCCTTCATATCTGACATATCTCCAGACCCTGCAGCTTCATCCTGTCCACCTTTGTCTCCTTTTCCAGCTCGTCGCCTGGCATTCCCTTGCTGCACACTGTTCCCTGCTGCACAGATGATACTCATTTTAATGGAGAATTGGAAATGCATGCTTTTTTTGCAAGACAAAAGACAATACAGTGACAGAACAACAAGCGAATAATAATAACAATAAGACCACCATAACAACAAAGTTAGGGGCAGTGAAGCATGGCTGGGTCACCATCAGGGAGCTCCAGAACGGGTCAGCAGGGTCAACTCATTCCTCCCCTCCACACCACATCGGGTTGTGTTGGTCACCCCCAGATCCTCAAAGGAGGGGACTGTCCCATTGTGGGCTTGATTCCTTTAAAAAATATCAACTTAGCGATTTCAGCCTCTGGACGGACTGTGACGTGGAAACGCTCCAGTGCTACAGTCAAACATGTCGACATGCTTTTTCCCAAATAGAACAGAAATAAGATCGCTGTGAGATATTTGTTAAGTTCTATTCCCTTGTTTCGGGTTAAATTTTGTTGTTTTTGAGCGTCATTATAAAACTACATGTTTGAGAAGATTAATTTTATATGCTTTCTCCCCATTTAATTTGATATTCAACAATATTCAATGTGTTTACATTTGTATGTGTTTCAAGGGCTAAGCAATGCTGCCACAGAACACGCAACATGTTACTGTGGAAATAAAGCTTTGAATGAGGGAAAATGCTTTTTGTATTGTTTGGTGTAAGCAAAGGTTTCCTGTTTTTTAAATTACGATTCATCGATCGATTGTTACTCATAATCGATAAAGGAAAGTCGAGTCAAGTCAAACTTTACTTGTATGGCACATTCAAAAACAGCTACAATCTTAATGACTACAAAGCAAACAATCATAATAGAAAAAACAACAAACAATGTGCACATAATTAGTGCTGGAGGTATTATGTTAATACGGTAAACCAGTTATAATTTCCATACAATATTAATTTTCATATACCGCCAGACTAAAGAATGGCTGTGAAAAGCACTATGGATGGGAGGGTGTATGGCAGGGGTCACTAATAGGCGGACCGCGGTCCGGGTCCAGACGCTGTTCTATCCGGACCCTTGACATAAAACCGAATAACTGAGAAGTATTATATTTTTGACGGAGTGCTTCTATTTTAACCGACGCAGCTTTTCCAGCCTTTACGGTACTCGTTGAGCGGTGCAGGAAACACACCGACCAATCACATGCATTGTAAATCACATCACGTGATGCTGCTCAGCCAATCAAATATCTGTATTCTGATAAACTTTCCGACTCGAGTGAGATTCACAAACACAGGAGAGACGAGGAAAGAGACCAAAGAATACGTGAGTCAGAGAAGTTATTTCACATGACGTCCTCCAAAAGAGAAGAGTGGTCAGAGAGACCAGAGTCTTTAACCAATAATGAACACTCTTATAGGATCATTCTTCCTACGGGCAGTTTAAAACCAGGATGTCTCATATGTTCAGAGACCGTGATGATTATTAAAAGCAGTAATGTGAAGCTCCACTAAGAGACAAAGAACTCTTTTGAGCAAACGTACCCACTCACATCTGAATTGAAGTCACAGATAATAAATCTAAGAGTCCAATATGATCAGAATCCTAACACATGAATTCATGCCCAACAATGAAGTTAACAGAGAGAATAGAGCTGAAACAAGTGGTTTAATAACACAGATAAAGTCCATGCTCACTCATTTCTCTTGTTAGAAGATGACAAGAATATAATATCTTAGCTTTTTTGATTGACATCACTTCACACCTGAATTAACTAAATTTAAAGCTCCAGGGCAATTCAGTTCAGTATTAAAAGATGAAGTACTTCATTTTAAGATGCACATTTTTCAAAAGCTTTCTGTTATGTAATATATTCTTGAATGCATCCCTTATTTTACTTGAAGTGAGAGAGTATTTATTTAGTATTAGATTATGTATTATTTATAATTCATCCAGTTCAATTTGAAATCTGACAATGTTGACAGACGTTAATACAACTGTTGAAAGAAATTAAAACTGCTAGAATGGCCCAGCCAATCAGCTGACTTGAATCCAATAGAAAATCTATGAAAGAACTAAAGATCAGAGTTCATGGAAGAGGCCCACGGAACCTTCAAGATTTGAAGACTGTTTGTGTGGAGGAATGGGTCAAAACCACACCTGAGCAATGCATGCGCCTAGTTTCTCCATACAGGAGGCGTCTTGAAGCTGTCATTACCAACAAAGGATTTTGTGCGAAGTATTAAATCAATTTCAGTAAGCCTGTTCAATACTTTTTCCCTGTGTCATTCCATTTTATTACACATAACTTAATTTCTAAACTTATTTGTATGTATGGATTACTTGGGTTGTTACCGACATCTGGTGAAAAGTTCATGTCTATAGAAATATATTTACTGAGAACAATGGTGACGTGTTCAATACTTATTTTACCCACTGTATATTTTGATATTATCAGTGTCGGGAACGAAAAGGAGCGTGTTTGAGTTATCAGCATTTAAGAAAACTAAATTATTGACATCAAGAGAATTATTAATGTCAGTAAGATTATTAATAATAACGGGGCACCACCCTGCGAACAGGGACCAATAACCAAACGATAAACGAAGTCTCATAATTAGTGTTCACTCACAATGTCAATAGTCTGAGTACTGTTACACATTCAGAGTGAAAGTGAAGGTTTAAGTTCGAGCAACAGACCACATATCGGCTATTATCACAATACATGCACAAAGTAATCACAGACAGCTGCTCTTTAAAGTATAACAGAGTTTATTATGTTCTAATAATAATGATGTAGTCAACTAATATCTAAACTAACAACAACTATACATTTATGAGCACGCTATCTAAAATGAACAAACTATGGTAAGGGGTGTGTGTAAGGGGGGAGGAGCGAGAGAACAGCTCAGACAACGTATGACGTAATCTGAAACATGGCGACGTCTCTCGTGAGACCACCAGATGGCACGAGGCTCTACAATGGCGGTAGACAATAGAGACCTCGTTAGCGACACGTGTCTGAAGCCGTTAGCGCAACCCCGGAGCTACATTAGCTTAAAGCTATGTGTGTGTGTGGGTTAATAAAAGAAGAGCGAAAGCAAAGAAAACAAAAAGGGGTCCTCCAAAAACAGATTAAGATCCTCCCTGCCGCGGTGGAGTACGGAAGATTGTTCTCTCAGCTACAGAAGCACAGCCAACGACTCTTTGTCACAGCCGCAGTTCTGACCTCTGAACTGATGAGAAACAACTTCCGCCTCCGCAAGCGGTGAATTATCTCAACACGATAGTAGCATGAAATACACAGTAACTTCTCCACAACACTAACGATCAAACAAGATAATAAAACACAATAGCCTAAACCTAGCCCAGACACCGTAAGTAGCTTACTATGAGGGGAATTAGTGGTTTAATCGATCGGTCCTCTGGCAGCGCGGTCCGTGCAGCGCTGTGATAAAACTCTCGGTGCATCAGAGAATGTCTTCGGCTCAGTAAGGGAATTTCCCGTCCTTACAGCTAGCACGAAGTCGACTTGGGTGGAGAGGAGAAATGTGCCTCTCTCTCTCAAGAAGTCCCGTTTCTTCACTTCTGCAGGAAAATGGTTCGCTTCCTCGTCCAGGATGCGAACAAAAACAAAACAAACAAACAGTCCAGTAGATACGTCCAGCGAATCTAAAACTGTTAAACCTAGGATTTTCTTTTAAATAGCAAACGTTGCGTGCGTGCTTTCGTGCACCGACCAAGGTGATCAAGAAAAGGCGGTATATTCAAGGGGGCTCGGTAGTTTTGTAAGAGAGCTGCTTCCGGGCCGTGAAACCGGAAGTCCTGCCTCGGCATCCCTGGTCTCGTCCAATTAGACCGCAGTGTTGCATTGTGTGACGAGTTCACGACTTAATGTGAACTTCTTGCTAGTGGGGGTCTTGGTTTCTATCAACCTCAAATCAGGATGAACCCTTGCCTGGCAAAAAGGGAAGGCCCGATTCTCTTGTTTCAGAGCACATGTCGAGGCCACATGGTCAGACCCCAACATCAGTTCATTATGAAACTGTGGTGGGCTGCCACACATGAGATAGTTAATGAGAAACGTTGCACTGCTAAGTAAATGAAGATGTGCACATATGTACTTCCATCAACAAATGAATCAGCAACCCATCAAATAAATGCAATATATGTAGCAGGTTTTTGATGTCTTTTCAAGACAGCAGGTATAATGTATTTCAGATTGGAGCAGTAAGACTCACCATCTTTAGCTGCATCTTTGCCTTCTTCTTTCTGGGAGCAGTGTTTAAACCTCATCAGACAGCAGGTCCCGTCCTGTCCTGCAGCAATCACACCATTACCTACAGCCATGTTCATGGTGGCCCGGGTGTCCGTGTCATGAGAGTGAAGGAGACTGGCACTGTACTGGTGCTCTCCAACCAGCCGGAGATCCAGGAAGTGCTGAAACACACAGTCAAGAGTCTGCTACTACTGCTACTCTCATAACACCTGGAATCCAGAATCCCATTCATACACTCAACCCAAACATGTTCTAGTGTTGACACTGCAATTTGAGTACCATTAACTTGACTTTTGCGATACACATTTCCTATATAATCATATCAGAACCTCTTCTGCTGTATTCTACGGTGGTTCTGAAAACTCAACAACTTAAGAAAACCCATGAAAATAGACAAAAACAAAAGCAAATGAAGAAAATTAGACAGCATAGAGCGTTTAGAAAACAGCTGAAAAGACAGAAAATATATATTTTCAGAAAACAGAACCAAACAACCAAATACACACAACACACCCTGTTTTTCTCTTACTTATTTTTTGACTGTGTGCTTAACGTTAGTGTTGGTGTGCGGTCGACATAGAACGTAGCAGTGCTCAAGACACTAACCTGCTGATTCGAGTGAAGGGGGTTAGCCTCAAAGTTAGCAACAACTTGGGCTCAGACTCCCTTTAGGTGGGCTCACCTTTAAGGTGGACTAGCAATTCCGAGCCTAACAACTGTTTTGGCCAAAACCCTGAAACACTTGATCCTCACTACTTACCACAGCATTCTTTATGCCCGTCTTGGAAGCCCCTCCTCCCCCTGCTGTGATCACCAGCCCTGTTTTAGGGTCCACTTTAATGGAGTATAAGGGAAAGGGGGCTCTGTACAGATCTGGCACCCTCCTCCTCCCCATTGTTGTTGTGCAAGTCACTCACACGTCTTCATAAAACTGCTGCATCAACAACACCTGAGGAAAACAGAGTGTTAGTTTATCTGCGACATCCTCTTTCCTCTGTAATCAATTCATCAATCAACAGCAAATTAAATGACTGTTTTAAAAAACTACTTTTAGACATTTTTCAGACAGAAATATCAACCATTCTCTGGTTGCTGCTTTTCCATTGTTGTGAATTGAATATATTTATTTATTTCGATTTTGAACTATTAGTGAGTAAATATAAGACATCTTCACACACCATATTGGGATCTGGGAAATAGTGATGTCACTTTTTTCACTGTTTTCTGACGTTTCATGGCCCAACTGATTAATGTGAAAAGACTCAGCAGATGAATCAACAATAAAAATAAATATATTATTCAAGTACAAATAATACACATGATTTGAGCAGAGTTGCGCCTTTACTCCTACGTGAGGCTTAGAGATAATGGAAAAATAAATCAGAAGTCTACTTATTATTGCTGATATTATCACAATATCTGGTGTAGAACAGCACATGTCAATTATTTAGTTCAGCGTTTTATTCTATGTATAGAACCCTCCTAAAGGTAGGCCTGTTGTGTTGCACTGTGTTAGCTTATGCTTGTTGGAAGTTACCTACTGAATATTTACAGTACTACCCTATGATACTATATCACTATATGGGCAAGAGACAACGACGTGTAAGACATATTTAGGAATGCGTCACACGATCTGTATATGAAGTCAGATTTAGTTTTTATGAACCGAGACTTGAATATAACGTTAACTGTGTCAGACTTTGCTTGGTGTCGCTGTAGTCTGGTCTGTACAGAGGACCGTTACTGTAACGTTAATTCATTGGTGAAGTTAAAGTTGGGTCTCAGCAGCTAGGCTAACATTATGAGCACTGTCAGCGCCTTCATGGGGTAAACACCAAATACAACACTTGTGAATAACATAAACCTTTCTGTTTTCAGCAATAACGTCCGAAAACTCCAACTACGTTACAACCCATAAGTTATTGAATGTGAGAACGACGATGTCAACATCGTTTAGCTGAAGCTAATGGCTACAGTTAGCACTACAGCCTGCTGTGCTATCCTGCTAGCGCTTGCCAGTGATTTAATTATGAGTCACCTACTTGTGCTATTGGCCCGGTTTGTCTTCTGTTATTTGAGCAGGTAGTTACCGAAATACCAAATCAGAGGATTTCATAGTAGGCTTGCAATGAAGAGGGAGTGCTAAGAGTTAGTGGCTACCGTAGACGAAACGCTAGGTCCAGGTAGCTCGACAGCCACTTCCCTACCAACACGTCAGCAACGTAGGGTAACGTAACGTGGGTTAACGTAGCGTAATGTAGCAGCTTACGCTGCGTTCTGACGTCACCACTCGATCGCTGAAGTATGGAAGCCCATTTCTGTCACTGTGACGAAAAAAATAAACATCCTGTAGGTCATTGTTGGAATGCTTTTAAGCATTCCAAGTATTGTTCTTCAAATCTTTATTCTTCTTTTTATTATTATATTTCTTCCGTCCCCTGTTTTTTGAAATTCTTCTGCTTCTTCATTTTTTAAGCTACAGAAACTGTTCAAATATCAAAATGTTCAGCTCTTTAAGGACATTTATGCTATGTTGTTTTCATATTTCTACCTCTTGTGTTTTTTGAATTAATAAGCTTTTTGCAACTTTTTTTTGAATGGGATGTCTATGGAGAACATTTTCAAATCCTCTTAAACGTTTTCAACTTTCAAATCCTTCTACTTCCTCATACTTTCAGCTACAGACACCATTTCAACTTTAAAATACTGAGAAAACCCTAAGCTATTACTGTATATTATAGTATTTTTGATATATTTTACACTTTTTGAACTACAGCAATTTAACTTTTATGGTTTTTTCAGTCCGTTTCTGCTTTTATAATGGGTGTGTATCGCGCAGCTTAGAGTGCGTGATGTCACCGCTAGAGTGAAGAGCAGCTTGAGATTCTTGTGAAAAAAACATTTGTGTTTTGCCACTGAGTCCACAATCTTCACTCTTCATGCATAATTTCTGGATTTAAAAGTAGCTAATATTGTCCTTGTCATTGACAAATGACTGTGGAATCCCACAGATTTACACATTTGACACAGAAGCCTGTAATTGAGAGGAAAACCAACTTTCTGCTCCATAGAGACCAATGTTAAATTTTACTTCAAAAACATCTTCCACTGAACACGGTACCCCATTTCTAGATCGCCAGTTCAGCCACATTTTTTATACTACAGACACAATTTTTACAGGATCTGTTCTTCAACTCATCCTTCCTCTCATTTATTAATATCGGAGCAATGGGAGCTACGGTTATGGGAGTTTTGAGGATTTGTTTGAGAGGTGTTTCCCTGTTTTATCTCCATGAAGAGGCTGCAAGGACACAGATGTTTCTGAGTAAGCTAATTAGTGATGTTGATAAAAACAGACTCACAGACACACACGCACTCTTCTCTCTCTCTCCGTGTGTCTCTCTCTCATACAGTCATTCAGGTCTTACAGCTTTTTACAGGACCCCCCCCCCCCCCCCCCCCACCCCATTATAAAATAAAAGCCCCACAACATGAATTCTAACTGAAATGCTTGTGATGAAGCCTGTCATTTAATAACCTCCATCCATCCATCCATTTTCCTCCGCTTATCCGGGGTCGGGTCGCGGTGGCAACAGGCCAAGCAGGCTGACCCAGACTTCCCTCTCACCGGCAACATGTTCCAGCTCATTCTGGGGGATCCCGAGGCGTTCCCAGGCCAGCTGGGAGATGTAATCCCTCCAGCGTGTTCTGGGTCTTCCCCGGGGTCTCTTCCCAGTTGGACGTGCCTGGAAAACCTCCAGTGGGTGGCGTCCAGGAGGCATCCTAATTAGATGCCCGAACCACCTCAGCTGACTCCTTTCGACGCGAAGGAGTAGCGGCTCGACTCCAAGCTCCCTCCTGATGACCGAGCTCCTTACCCTATCTCTAAGGCTGAGACCGGCCACCCTACGGAGGAAGCTCATTTCGGCCACTTGTAACCGCGACCTTGTCCTTTCGGTCACGACCCAGAGTTCGTGACCATAGGTGAGGGTAGGAACGTAGACCGATTGAGAGCTTTGCCTTCCGGCTTAGCTCCCTCTTCACCAAGACGGTCCGGTGCAGCGCCTGCTTTACTGCTGCAGCCGCACCGATCCGTCTGTCGATCTCCCGCTTCATCTTACCCTCACTCGTGAACAAGACCCCAAGATACTTGAACTCCTTCGCTTGAGGTAGGCACTCCGTCCCCACCTGGAGGAAGCAATCCACCGGTTTCCGGCAGAGCACCATGGCCTCAGATTTGGAGGTGCTAACTCTCATCCCTGCCGCTTCACACTCGGCTGCAAACCGCCCCAGTGAATGCTGGAGGTCACGATCCGAGGAGGCTAACAGGACCACATCATCTGCAAACAGCAGAGAGGCGATCCCGAGACCCCCGAACCTGACGTTCTCCACCCCCAGGCTGCGCCTAGATATCCTGTCCGTGAAAGTCACGAACAGGACCGGAGACAAAGGGCAGCCCTGGCGGAGGCCAACACCCACCGGGAACGTGTCTGACTTATTGCCGAGAATGCGGACACAGCTCCTACTGCAGTCGTACAGAGACCGGATCGCCCATTGTAATGGGTCCGGCACCCCATACTCCCGCAGCACCCCCCACAAGAACCCCCGAGGGACCCGGTCGAAAGCCTTCTCCAAGTCCACAAAGCACATGTAGACTGGTTGGGCAAACTCCCAGAACCCCTCCAGTAGTCTTGCGAGGGTAAAGAGCTGGTCCACTGTTCCACGGCCGGGACGGAATCCGCATTGCTCCTCTTGTATCTGAGGTTCAACAAACGGTCGGAGCCTCCTTTCCAGCACCCTGGCATAAGCCTTCCCTGGGAGGCTGAGTAGTGTGATACCCCGGTAATTCGAGCACACTCTCCGGTCCCCCTTTTTGAAAATGGGAACCACCACCCCGGTCTGCCAGTCCATGGGCACTGATCCCGACCCCCATGCGACATTGAAGAGGCGTGTCAGCCAGGACAGCCCAACCATGTCCAGCGCTTTCAGCATCTCAGGGCGGATCTCATCCACCCCCGGCGCCTTGCCACCAAGGAGCTTTTTGACTACCTCAGCGGCCTCTGCCAGGGATATGGGTGAGCCTCCCCCTAGATCTTCAGGTGCTGCCTCCTCTGCAGAGGACATGTTGGTCGGGTTTAGGAGTTCCTCAAAGTACTCTTTCCACCGCCCGACAATGTCCCCTGTCCGGGTCAGCAGTTCCCCCCCCTGCTGAGAACAGCCTGGGGTAATCCCTGCTTTCCCTTCCTGAGCCGTCGGATGGTTTGCCAGAACCTCCTTGAGGCCAACCGAAAGTCCTTCTCCATGGCCTCCCCGAACTCCTCCCGTGCCCGAGTTTTAGCATTCGCGACCACCGCAGCTGCAGCCCTTCTGGACTGCCGGTACCTGTCAGCTGCTTCGGGAGACCCCTGGGCCAACCAGGCCTTGAAGGTCTTCTTCTTCAGCTTGACGGCTTCCCTCACCTCCGGTGTCCACCACCGGGTTCTCGGGTTACCGCCACGACAGGCACCGATGACCTTCCGGCCACAGCTCCTAGCGGCCGCGTCCACAATAGAGGCTTTGAACATGGTCCATTCGGATTCCATGTCCCCAACCTCCCTCGGGATGTGAGAGAAGTTATTCCGGAGGTGGGAGTTAAAGACCTCCCGGACAGGGTCCTCCGCCAGACGTTCCCAGTTCACCCTCACTACACGTTTGGGCTTGCCGGGTCTTTCCAACCGGTTCCCCTGCCATCTGATCCAACTCACCACCAGGTGGTGATCAGTTGACAGCTCTGCTCCTCTCTTCACCCGAGTGTCCAAGACATACGGCCGCAAATCAAATGATACGATTACAAAGTCGATCATTGATCTCCGGCCTAAGGTGTTCTGGTACCAGGTACACTTATGAGCCACCTTATGTTCGAACATGGTGTTCGTTATGGCCAAACCATGGCACGCACAGAAGTCCAATAACGAGACACCATTCAGGTTCAGATCGTGCAAGCCGTTCCTCCCAATCACCCCCCGCCAGGTTTCTCCATCATTGCCCACGTGAGCATTGAAGTCCCCCAGGAGAACTATGGAGTCGGTAGGTGGCGCCCTTTCCAGGACCCCTCCCACCGACTCCAAGAAGGCCGGATACTCTGAACTGCTGTTTGGTGCGTAAGCACAAACCACAGTCAGAGCCTTGCTCCCCGCAACCCGTAGGCGCATGGAGGCGACCCTCTCGTTCTCCGGGGAGAACTCCAACACAGCGGCGCTCAGCCAGGGGCTCGTGAGTATCCACACTCCCGCCCGGCGCCTCTCACCCTGGGCAACTCCGGAAAAGGACAAAGTCCAACCTCTCTCCAGGAGCTTGGTTCCAGAGCCAGCCCTGTGTGTGGAGGTGAGTCCAACTATATCTAGCTGGTATCGCTCCACCTCCTGCACCAGCTCTGGCTCTTTCCCCGCTAGCGAGGTGACGTTCCACGTCCCTAGAGCTAGTCTATGCTGCCGGCGATCGGCTCGCCCAGGCCTTCCGCCTGACCCGCGCCGGTTTCCCTGGTCCGGGCGAGATGGCTAAAGTCCGTGGGCTGCTTATCATTAGGGTTGTTTGAACCGCTCTTAGTCTGGGCTCTCCCCGAGACCTGTTTACCTTGGGAGACCCTACCAGGGGCTAATGCCCCGGACAACATAGCTCCCAGGATCACTGAGCCACTCAAACTCCTCCACCACGTTAAGGTGGCGATTCGCGGAGGAGATTTAATAACCTGTTTATGTTTATCTAACATTATGAATCTACATCCTCTCCCCCCCCCCCCACCCCCCCACCCCATTTCAAAATAAAAGCCCCAAAGAGTGAATTCTAACTGAAATGCTTGTGATGAAGCCTGTCATTTAATAAACTCTGTTTATGTGTGTCAAACATTACGATTATGTCTCCTCTCCCCCTCTCTCCCCCACCCAGTCCCACCCTTTCAAAATAAAAGCCTCATGGATTAACTATACGTTAAGCTCAAAATTAGGCTTTTTTGTTGAAATAATGAATGCTCTTACCAATACTGCGACAACTACTACTGCTGCTACAACTACTACTACTACGACAACTACTACTACTTCTACAACTTTTGCTGTTGCTACGATTACTACTACTGCTATTACTGCTACCATCGATATTATTACTACCACTACTACTATTACTTGTACTACAACTGCTATTCATGCTACTACCAGTACTAATATTACTACAGCTATTAGTA